GCAGATATTTGTAAGCATTTCTAAGGTCCCCTCTCAGCCTTCTCTTCTCCAGGCTGAACAAGCCCAGCTCCCTCAGCCTCTCCTCGTAGGAGAGATGTTCCAGTCCCCTCCTCATCCTCGTAGCCCTGCGCTGGACTCTCTCCAGTAGCTCCTCATCTTTCTTGAACTGGGGAGCCCAGAACTGGACACAGCACTCCAGATGGGGCCTCACCAGGGCAGTGTAGAGGGGGAGGAGAACCTCCCTCGTCCTGCTGGCCACACTCTTCTTGATGCACCCCAGGATTCCATTGGCTTTCTTGGCAGCCAGGGCACACTGCTGGCTCGTGGTCACCCTGTCGTCCACCAGCACACCCAGGTCCCTCTCCGCAGAGGTGCTCTCCAGCAGGTCCATCCCAGCCTGTACTGGTGCCCTGGGGTTGTTCCTCCCCAGGTGCAGGACCCTGCCCTTGCCCTTGTTGAACCTCATCAGGTTCCTCTCTGCCCAGCTTTCCGGCCTATCCAGGTCACGCTGAATGGCAGCACAGCCTGCCGGTGTGTCTACCACACCTCCCAGTTTGGTGTCACTCTTGAGACGCTCTCGGGAAAACCCAGAGCACCCAGCAGGGCAGCGGGACTCCAGCCACGCGCAAAGCGAGCTGTGCTCGACTGCAGTCGGAGAGGTGGAGCGACGCCTGCAGCTTCTCTCCGCTCCTCCCCGCAGGGCTCCCTCCGAAGCCGAGCGCGCAGGCTCCCTGCTAGGCGCTGGCCATGGAAAAAAGGTATTTTAAAAACAAGTATCTGAAAAATGAAATACTATATAAGCCCTCATTTAAGCGCGGCCTGTCTGCAAACATCTGTGGTTGACAGGTATGGGGTCAGTAATACCGATCTCCCCAGTAACAACAAAGTCTTTCTTGCCTGGAAAACCACCTCAAACCAGCAGCATCTCCACTCAAGTCAACAGTGCACACCAGTGTAAAACCAGTTCAAGGTGAATGATCGTCAGGTTCTCTCTCAGTTACCAAGAGAAGGAGGAGCGTGGAAAGCAAACTACAGCGCGGCTCTGCAGGTGCCAGCCACACAGAGGCAGAGCTCACGGGGACCTTTCCACGGGGAGCTCGGAGACCGGCCAGCATGAAGAGCTGCTGGAGAGAGTCCAGTGGAGGGCTACGAGGATGAGGAGGGGACTGGAGCATCTCTCCTCCGAGGAGAGGCTGAAGGAGCTGGGCTTGTTCAGCCTGGAGAAGAGAAGGCTGAGAGGGGACCTTAGAAATGCCTCTAAATATCTGCAGGGTGGGGGTCAGGAGGACGGGGCCAGACTCTTTCCAGTGGTGCCCAGCGACAGGACAAGGGGCAACGGGCACAAACTGAAGCAGAGGAAGCTCCATCTGAAGATGAGGAAGAACTTCTTCCCTCTGAGGGTGACGGAGCCCTGGCCCAGGCTGCCCAGGGAGGCTGTGGAGTCTCCTTCTCTGGAGATATTCCAGCCCCGCCTGGACACGGTGCTGTGCAGCGGGAACCCGTCGTGGGCAGGGGGTTGGACGGGGGGACCCAGAGAGGTCCCTTCCAACCCCTGACCATGCTGGGATTCTGTGAGTCGGGAGCCGGCAGCCCGGGCAGGCTCCGTCCGAGGACACAGCGCTCTGCCCTGCTCATCACCACAGGACTGCCATTTCTCAGGAACGAGATCGTTCTGTAACCCCAGGGCAGCCAGAAGAGAGAGAGACACTGTAAGTTCTAAAGGCTCAAATTAAAGGTTAAACCCAGAAGGGCCATGCAGCCCCGTGGGTTTCACGGCGGGGGGGGGGTGGTCGCGCCGCGTCTCTGCACGCTGCCCAACCCCACGGCGTGAGTTAAGCAGGGAGTGTTGAAATTTCCATGCTTTTTTTGGCTGATGCCAGACCCTCTAAAACTGGTGTAACCATGTTTCGTGCGTGAACACATACAAACGACTACAAGCTCCAACATTGTCCCGTATGTTGAACAACTCACAGATATTTCCCAATATTAAAAGACAAGGCATATTTTAGGGACGTATATTAGAGCTGACGAATGATATATCGCAGTCACAGCTCCGTGTTGGTTTTGGCTCGCGCTCAGTCCCTTTAAAGCAAAGCGTTTGGTTAGTTCATTGACAACTGCAGAAGGGTGTGATCTTGGCCAAGCGTAAGCATTACTAATATTTTTACATCATGTATTTATTTTAACCAAACTCATTTATCAACTGTAATTAAAGAAGGTAGCTATCACTCACTCACAAATAATTACAGCCCCGCTCCGTACGGCTCTGGTGTCTGCTGCGAAGCTAAACCATTATTCAGGGGTGTCAAAACTTTCTGTCACGGGGCGTGGGGTGGAAGGAGGGTCCCTGCCAAACGCCCTGGGCAACATCTCACTCCTCCGACGCAGGACAGGCTGCCCTCGCCTGAAACCCCGGCGTCTGCAGCCCGCGGGTCCCAGCAGGCAGCCATCCCCCACGCTCCAGCACAAACCACGGCCTCAGCGTCCCCGGCCAGTTATTTACCCATTCCCTTTCTGCAAAAATGGCTTTATCATATTTTCAGAAATCCTTTTCTACTTTCAAAGTCCCGGTCAGAGCACGTCACGATTTTTTGTCTTCTTGGAACGGCCGTTCACCTCTTTCAGCAAATCCTGCACCAAAGTCTCATCCCCCTCACAGCAAGGATCACCACTAGCACACGTTTTTGAAATTGCACGATAGCTTAGGAAAAAAAAAAAAAAAAAAATCCACCTTCCCCCCCTTCTGCCGAGCATGCCGAGCACAATCACCCACAAAAACGAGGATGAGGGCTCTAAGCCCTCCACGTTTTATTTCCGTTTCGCTTATTCCACTTTCAACAACGCGGTCGAGTTAGGAAATTCGATTTCTTACTTTGTATTCTGGAATTGACAAAGGGAGGAGAGAGATTGTCATGCGACCCAAGGTCTCTGCTGGCCATATGATCATAGTGAGTCCCATCTCCATAGTTCTGTTAACAAATCGGGAGAAAACACAATTTTACAAGTTTAAACAGCACTTTTCAAAACCTACAGGTCCCTATTTGCCTGCTAAGTTTTAAGCCAGCTGTAAGAAATACTATTCCCTTTATTGCTTCCCCTATTGATTCTGCTGCAAGGGATGTGTTCCAGAACGTTTTAAAGCTGTTTCAATTTTTTTATTTCATTAGTAATTGACTTTGGTTTGCTGTGTGGATAATCCCGAATGGGTGGCTGAGATGAGGTTCCTGGAATTCCGTGCTGTGCAATCCAGCATAAAGCCCTCTCTCAGCACAAAAGTCTTCCTGCCCATGTGCAAGAACAGCAAAGAAATACTCCTTTTAACGTTTTGCTTTTTAAAATCTATTTTTATGGAGAAATTTGCTGTCTTAACCACCTCCTATATCCATGCGCTGGCCCATAAAAAAAAAAAATCTGAATTTTTTCCTGCAGTGGGGGTGGGAAGGGCCTTCTCACCGACAAACCACCCGGCACAGCGGCGGTCCTTGGTGCCCCATCGCCCCTCCACCGCTCGCCGGGGGTCCGCGGCAGCGGGCGCTACTCACCGCCTGCGGTGGGAAACCCGGGCAGGATCGGGCTCCTCGCTTTTGAAACGGGCTGGTGTAACCTTCCGCTTCCAGCCGCTCGATCAGCAAAATCTTAAAAATTTACCTACAAAGACTGGGCCAAGCGCGGCGGTCGCGTAATGTTTTGTTTCTTCGGTTCAGAAGAACTCACAAGAAACTAATTCTCCCGACGTGGAAATCCCATCGTCGTCTCACAAAGAAGGAAGGAGAGGGGGGTCAGGCTGTTTGCGGAGCAGCTCTGCAAGTTAATGCACAGCCTTGATTGAAACTCCCGAATTCTTCCCGGGCTCGTGCTCTTTTCTTTATATCTCAAAACTTAATTGTACGCTCACATTCAAGTTTTTGCATGCATAAATAATCGTGTGTGCAAATTTAGAATTTACTTTTCAAAACATTTTTCCCTCGGAAGCAATACAAGTGTCAAGTAAAAAAAAAGGGATAAAAATAAAACTGACAGATGTGAGTAGTAATGACGTAATGGATGCTAAGCAGGATGGAATAAGAAAAGGTGGCGTCGGGCTTCCCTCCCTCGGCGGCAGGGCCGGGGTCCCCCTGCCATAAAGGGGGGGACCCCCTCGGCTGCCCGTGCTCTGGACACCCCCTTAAAGCCTGAGCTGGAGTAACCTCCGCCGAGGGCAGGACCTGCCCCGAGGGGAAAGGACGGCCATGGAGGAACGGGGCAGCCGTGCTCCTCCGCGCCAGCCAGGCACTCCAGGGCACGGAGCTCCCGGCAGCGCTGCTCGCGAGCCCAGCTCCTTCACGTTAATTAGAAAACAATTAAAAAGCGATTTCAACCAACTGTTTAAATATGGGCGTAAGAGCAAAGCCACTTTTTGCCCAGCGTTAAGTGTACTTCACGCATCTGCGGGAAGCAAACAGAAATGATCACCCGGGCGCTGGAGCACAAGCCGTGCCCAGCCCCAAGGACGGGCAGAGCCGCGATGCTCCGGTCCGGCGAGGACCCT